TGCAATGGCGCGATCTCGGCTCACCGCAACCTCCGCCTCCTGGGTTCAGGCAATTCTCTTGCCTCAGCCTCCTGAGTAGCTGGGATTACAGGCACGTGCCACCATGCCCAGCTAATGTTTTGTATTCTTAGTAGAGACAGGGTTTCACCATGTTGACCAGGATGGTCTTGATCTCTTGACCTGGCGATCCACCTGCCTCGGCCTCCCAAAGTGCTGGGATTACAGGCTTGAGCCACCGCGCCTGGCCCTCATTCATTCTTCTCCAGGGTCCCATTCTTGGAAGTAAGGACCCAACTGAGCCAACAGGAGCCAATTGTGGTCACTGACTCCAACTGGGTGGTCAGGGCCTGGGAGTCTGAAGGACAGGGCTGCTCTAGATGGGAGAGCAATGTTCAAATGAAGGGAGGGCAGTGTCCCTGTGAAAAGAATCATGGCAGGGCCCTTGACTGCCCTCCTTTGAGACCTTCTACCCTCAGAAGCTTTCAGCAATAGAAGGCAGTCAGGGGCTGGGCTTCTGGAGGGGCTGCCACACCCCTTGCTGTGACGGCCAGGTGCCTATCAGCTTGGGAGAGGTTGTGTTGGCCAGAAGGCTCCTGTGGGGTCCCATCCCTCAGGCAGTGATCTCTCTGGCCTTGATGGCGGGGCGGGGAAGGAACCCTATTTAAGGCAGATGGGTTCAGAATTCTGTCCCTGTCCACTGTGTCTCCTGGGCAGCTGTGGAGGGCAGTGGCCACTCCAGGCGTGGACTTGCCTGGGAGAGATGTTTGGGGCTACCACCCTCATACTAGCTGCCAAAGAAAATATTTTTTTGCAGGTTTCCTGCGACCGAGAATGAAACTCAACACCCAGCAGGATGAGCTGTGTAGGGCGGGGATGGAGGCTTGGCTCAGGGATGGCAGGGCTCCGGCCACACCAGGGCCTACAGGTCCTGGTGGCTGTGAGGGGGCTGGGTGAGCAGTTGAGAGTGGGGCTGGCCTGGGACCCCAGGAGAAGTGGGGTTGTTGGGGCCAGGTCTGGTGGCTTATGTCTGTAATCCCAGCACTTTGGGAGGCCGAGGGGGGCGGATCACCTGAGGTCAGGGGTTTGAGACCAGCCTGGCCAACATGTCGAAACCCTGTCTCTACTAAAAATACAAAAATTAGCCAGGCATGGTGGCATGTGCCTGTAAAATCCCAGCTACTCGGGAGGCTGAGACAGGAGAATTGCTTGACCCTAGGAGGTTGTAGTGAGCTGAGATCACACCACTGTACTCCAGCCTGGGCAACAGGGCAAGAATCCATCTCAAAAAAAAAAAAAAAAAAAAAAAGCTATTTCGAAAAAAAAAAAAAAAAAAAAAAAAAAAAAAAAAAGAAAGAAAGAAAGAGAGAGAGAGAGAGAGAGAGAGAGAGAGCAAGCAATGGGGTTGTTGGGAAAGTGCGTGCACTAAAAAGGCCAAGGAGACGGCTCAGGCTGAGCCTAGACACTCACCAAGAGGCAGGTGACTTCTCAGGGAAGATTGCAGAAGCTCTGGCTAAAAAGAAATGGGATAATGACAAACACGTCTGAAAAATACAGAATGTACACGGAGTTTAGGAAGTTCAGATAAACCAAAAGAAAAAAATACAACTGATATTCATACAGAGCATTCCTCTTAGTATTTTGGCCCATATCACTCATTCTTTGTCTTTGCATATGATGATCACATACATAGCAAATGATATTGCACGTGCTGATTTGTTGCCTTTTTTTAACCCAGGAAGTTATCATGGACATCTTCACATGTCATTAAGCGTTTTCCTGCAATTCCACTTGGAATGTCTGCACAGCATTCCAACGTAGCTCTCTCCCTGGGAGGCAGAATGCGGTTGGCAGTGGCAGCTCCAGGCTTGGTGGCCCTTATAGCTCCCAGCCCCAAAGAGTAAGCAGGTGTCCTCAGCCGTTGCCATGGAAAATACCTGAGGAAGGCTCTGATTGGCCAGGCTTGGATCCTGTGCCCATCCTTAAGCCAATCCCTGAGGCCAGCAGGATTGAGGACTTTGATTGGCCAGGCCTGAGCCATGTGCCCATCCTGCAGCCAGGAGGAGGCAGCTTAAGGGATGCTGAGGAGACGATAAGCAGAGATCCCCCAGGCTGCAAGCTAACAGGAACTCCACACATATGACTGGGAAAATGCCCCCTGATATCTTGGGTCTAAGGCTGCAATCTGTGAGATCCAGCCCTTGCTCCTGAAGAAGCCTATAGTTTTGGGGAGACCCCAAAATATGGAAAACTTAGTTTAAAAAGGGTTCAGTGTCAAACATGAGGTCAACACTGCAGGAGGCCTTTGCTGCGGGACAGACCTGGGTTTAAGGCCCATTTCCACCATGACCTCAGCCAATCTCTTTTCTCTTCTGGAGCTGAGCTCCCTTCTGCGTAAAGTGGGAATAAAAACACCTGCCACACTCATAAGTGGTTGAGAATTTGATCTGCTGCCATAAGCAATTTGGAGCCTGGCACATCGTAGGTGTTTAATAGGTAATAATTGGTAGTAGTAGGCCAGGCCAGGCCGGGCCGGGCCGGGTGCAGTGGCTCACGCCTGTAATCCTAGCACTTTGGGAGGCCGAGGTGGGTGGACCACCTGAGGTCAGAAGTTCAAGACCAGCCTGGCCAATATGGTGAAACCCCGTCTCTACTAAAAAAAAAAAAAAAAAAAAAAAAACACAAACAAACAAAAAACATAGTAGTAGGCCGGGTGTGGTGGTGGCTCACACCTGCAATCCCAGGAGGCCGAGGTGGGGGGATCACCTGAGGTCAGGAGTTTGAGACCAGCCTGGCCAACATGGTGAAACCCCGTCTCTACTAAAAATATAAAAATTAGCCGGGTGTGGTGGTATGTGCCTGTAATCCCAGCTACTTGGGAGGCTGAGGCAGGAGAATCGCTTGAACCTCAGGGGAGGTTGTAGTGAGTCAAGATTGCGCCACTGCACTCCAACCTGGGTGACAGAGTGAGACTCCATCTCAAAAAATAAAATAAAATAATGAAAACCACGGAACTGTCTGCTTTAAATGGGTGAATTCTATCTTCATATAACTATTTTTTTAAAGGAAGGGAAAAAGAAATGTGAATCTGAGGCTTGAAAGCTGGGTTAAGTTTAGAGAATTCAGGGAAAAGAAACCTTCCAGGTGGCAGGGAGGACTTGCCTGAGGCCAAGGGGAAGCACGTGTGGTTCTCGGGCATGACCTGGTGAGAAGAGGCTCACGGTGCAGGGCGTGTGCTGGAAGTAGGTGGGGAGGGGAAGGCAGACTCAGGCGACCCTGGAATCCTCGAGAGAGGAGCCGGGGGCCGGGCCTCCTACTTCTATCTCTGTGCAGCTCAGAGTGTCAGGACAGACAGGGACCGTTCCGCGGCTTTGTCAGGACGCTGTGAACAGGAGAAACTGGGCAAAGGCTCAGCCCACTGGCTCCCAGGAAGATGCACTCCAGAAGCCCTGTGCCTGTGGAGGATGAGAGTGTGTCCACGCCACCTGCTCACACCCCACCATCTGCAGCTGGCCTCTCCTTTCCCTGATATCCCTGCATGCTTTCTGCCAATGATCTCTTATCCACCTCCTCTCTGAGCCAGGACTCACACGAACCACGCACATCCGCTGTGATCTAGCCAGTAAGAAATAAGGCGGAGCAGAGCAGCGGCAATGGCAGTGCCACCAGCTCCCGCATCGCCATCCTCTCCTCTTGGACAGGAACGCCCTCAACACGGGAGTATGTTTTGCCACTTGGCGCCCACCCCAGCCCTCAGAGCTATGAGGTCTGCTGGTTGAGTGCTGGGCATCTGAGTGGGAGTTGTGGGTGAGGGAGGGGCCAGAGGAGGCGAGAAGAGCTTCTCACGCATGGGCTGGAGAAGGCAGAGCTTTGCTGGCAAAAGAGTAAATGAAATTAAATGAAGCCACCTTAAGAGCACGTGAAGAAAGGACAGGAGTCACACACATTGGCTAAGATGGGTGATGTTTCCGGGACGCTGGTGGCAGGAGTGTGAAGACTCTGAGGCAGCTGTTGTGGGCTTGATGCAAAGAAGATCTGGGAAGGAGGAAGTAGGGGTGTTCTGCTGAGTATTTTAAAAACAATGCCTTCATTAAAAGCCTTCATTAGACGCCTGTAATCCTAGCACTTTGGGAGGCTGAGGGAGGATTGCTTCAGCCCAGGGGTTCAAGACCAGCCTGGGCAACACATCGAGACCTTTATCTCTACAAAACATTTTAAAAATTAGCTGGGTGTGGTGCTGGCCTGTATTCCCAACTACTTGGGAGGCTGAGGTGGGAGGATCACTTGAACCTGGGAGGTTGAGTCTGCAGTGAGCTGAGATCATGCCACTGCACTCCAGCCTGGGCAACAGAGCCAAAACCTGTCTCAAAAAAAAAAAAAAAAAAGCAGGCGGCCTGGAAGACATGAAGCCAGGTCTGTGTTGTCCTCCCAGTGCTGCTGAAATCTGATGTTTTCCTGAGACCTGGTCCTGCTCGGGAGAAAGAACCAGGCTGAGAGCTGGCGAGGGCTGCCCTCCACAGCAAGGGCTGGGCCGGCTGCTTTGCAGGCCCTATGACCCAGCTTTCCCTCAGCTTCTCCATCCTCACAGACATCATGAGATACTGCGATCGCTTTGCTCTCTGTGATCATGGAGTGTTTGATGGGGAGGCATGGGGCATAAGGAAGGGGCAGTCCTGACATCTTGAGGGCCTCTGCTGCCCTCAGGCACCCTCTGAAGGTTGGCATCATGGTGGCAAGTCCCAAGAAGGTGCAAAAACCTCTAAAAGGCAGGTGAACTTCAAGGAGCATTCCAGGGCCAGCCCAAGTCCAGAACAGGACACACAGCAAAGCCGTTCTCATCCGCGTGGGCAGACACTTGGCCTCCCCGCACTGCTCTGGAGGGCTGCCCACCAGCCTGGGCACCCCATGCCCCTTGCCTTCCTGTGTGTAGAACTTCACAAGAGACAAACGGCTCACCCTCAAATCAGAGTAGTGGCCTCGTGGCTTTGGAGCTCAGACCTCAACCCTCTGCTGATTTCCTTTTGCCGCGTATCTTGATAGGTGTGATAACTTTGTGACCCCTCCCCCTCCACGGTGGCTCCACGGGCTTTGCACCCATCCTTGTACTGGCATCAGCTGCTTGAGGGAAGACTGCCAATCTCTGACCACCCCTCAGGGTGAGCTTCAGGTGCCCCCTGGCCTCCGCAGATACCCAGAGCCATGTTTTTATTCAGTGCACAGATGTTGAAGGTAGAGCTTGGTGCATCTCTGTACCGCGGTCATGCCCTGGTGACGACCGTACAGAACGAGAAATCAAATGTCACCAGTCCCCAGACACCAGTCCCTCGAGTCCCTCCCAGTCACTAGCCCTGCTCTAAGGTGACTGCTGTCCTGACTTGGGGCGCTGGGCATTCACTCTACCAGTCTTCTGTTTTAGGTCAGATCGTCCCAATCACACATCCCAATTTGCCAAAATCCCATCTGGCAATTTTTTTTTTTTTTTTGCAAAAGCAGTTCTATTTATATAGAAAACACAGTCTCTGCATAGTTTGGTTAAACTTTTTTTTGGGGGGGGAGGAGTATGGAGTCTTGCTCTGTTGCCCAGGCTGAAGTGCAGTGGTAGGATCTCGGCCCACTGCAACTTCCAGCTCCTGGGTTCAAGAGATTCTCCTGCCTCAGCCTCCCAAGTAGCTGGAATTATAGGCATGTGCCACCACATCTGGCTAATTTTTTGTATTTTTAGTAGAGATGGGGTTTCACCATGTTGGCCAGGCTGGTCTCAAACTCCTGACCTCAAGCGATCCACCTGTGGCAGCCTCCTAAAGTGCTGAGATTACAGGCATGAACCACCATGCCTGGCCAAACTTTTAATTTCTTGCCATCAGTTTGTATTTATCTATATCAGCGTGAGTGTCTTAGGGAAAAGTTACTAGGTTTCTAAGTTATCAACATCTTGAGCAATTTCTAGATTTGATTGACAATCTCAATCCTGTCCTGAAGAACCAACCCAAATAAAACTAAAGGACAGAAAAGACGGGAAGGTTTTCCCTGCCGCCGTGTTGTGATAACAGATGTCTCACAACGTGGGTTCTTGCGGCAGGCAGTGGGCAAGGGAAAGGCCGTCACCTCTCCAAGGCCGGGCCGCCACGCCAAGTCGCAAACGGACACACTTAATTCCGGGCTCCCTGTTGGGTGAGATGTTAAAAACATCTGTCTTGGCCGGCGCGGTGGCTCACATCTGTAATTCCAGCACTTTGGGAGGCCGAGGCGGGTGGATCACCTGAGCTCAGGAGTTCCAGACCAGCCTGGGCAACATGGTGAAACCCCGTCTCTACTAAAATGCAAAATATTAGCTGGGCGTGGTGGTGCCTGTGTGTAATCTCAGCTACTCAGGAGGTTGAGCATGAAAATTGCTTGAACCTGGGAGGCAGAGGTTGCAGTGAGCCGAGACTGTGCCATGGTACTCCAGCCTGGCAGCCTGGGTGACAGAGTAAGGCTCTGGCTCAAAAACCAAAAAGAAACAACGAGTGAAGCAGTGGAGGGCGCTCCCAGCCCGGGGTCTGCCTTCCTCCTTCCCCTCTTGCCCTGGGCTCGGGGCATTCGGACCCTGTCCCCTCCCCAGTGGGCGGCAGCCCTTCCCCGTGTTCAAGTTTGTCTTACATGGTCGAGCCCTCTTGGCCACAGAGCACAGAGGAGAAGGACAAGGAGAAGGAGAAGGAGCTGCTCGCAGCCTGGCCACCATGGTGAAACCCTGTCTCTACCAAGAATACAAAAATTACCTGGGCGTGGTGGCACGCAGCTGTAATCCCAGCTTCTTGGGAGGCTGAGGGAGGAGAATTGCTTGAACCTGAGAAGCAGAGGTTGCAGTGAGCTGAGATTGCACCACTGCACTCCAGTCTGGGTGACAGAGCAAGACTCCATCTCCAAAAAATAAAATAGGAAATTTGTCTTGCTTATGTCTGTTGAGTTGGAGTTTTATTTGCAAACCAGGGAGAGAGAGACACGCAGTATCAGAACACAGGGCGTTTCCACCCACTGAAGAAATTTCATTTTCTGAAAAAAAGGCCGTGATAAACTTTTCCTCAGTTTACCCATTTCTCATGGACAGGTAAAGATGGGCTGCCACCCTTCTGAGACCAGCTTTGGACTCGGCTCCAAGCGGCCGGTTCTGAAGGAAGTGTGCAGGGGACAGGCCCTGAGCACCCACACACTGGGGAGGGTGGGCGGACTGGGGAGGGGAGGCAGGAGGCTGGGCTGCTGGGCACACCTGTCCCAGAGACGCTCTCAGGACGCTGTTATTCCTGGAGGCTTTCTTGACCGTGCTCAGCAAAGCTTTATGTGTCAGCACCGCAGGATAGGGCTGGGTGCGTGGGAGGAAATCGCACTTGTAAAAGTTAACCTTGGGTAGAAAAAAAATAAAAATTAAAGAAAAGTTAACCTTGGGCAAA